GGGTAGAGGGAGAAGAAGACTCCCTGCTGAGCAGGGAGCCCAATGTGGCACTTGATCCCAGGACCCTGGGATCATGACCTGAGCCGAAGGCAGACATTTAATCGACTGAGCCACCCAGGTGCCCATGATGTTCAGATTTTTATATTCTGTCGTGTTTTCTATCCATGATATTGATATTCTCTTTTCTTGGAGATTGTAAAAATTCCTCTCTGAAACTCCTCTGCTGCATGTTTATTGAGTACACTCTGTGTGCTAGGCACCTTGTAGGGAATGGGGACACAGCAGTGACCAAACAGATGGCAAGTCCGTGCCGTCACTGAGTCTACCTTCTTGTACACAGACCCTCACTTAATCCTCCTGTGTTTGTAAGGTACCCGTATTTGTGTAAGGTATCTTAAATCCAGTGGCTTTTAATTTTGGTTTATTTAAGCAATAGAATAAAGTGGGAGAGGAGCAGCTGCCTGGGGAGGGGAGGGATTTGAGGGTCCCAGTATTTTCCTAAACAGTCGTTCTGTTTTTGCTTCACTGTAAAGCTCCCTGCCCTCAGTGGTAGGCTGCACATCCAATTCCAGAACATTCCACGTTCTTGTTGGTTTGTCCCCGACTGTGGGTCCTTGGAGCAGAGAATGTCAAAACCCAAGTCTGTTACCTAATGTTTATCCATTTTACATTTCTAAATGAAGTGACCTCCTCGGACTGATAGTGACTCCTTCCTGTTCTGTCTTCCTTGCAGGTTTAGAAGACTGAGTTTTGCTGTCATTCTTGTGTGTTTTTTTACATTTAATTTTATTGTTTGTTTAAGTATAATCGACAGTGTCAGGTATACAATATAGTGATTCGACAATGCTATACATTTCTCAGGGCTCATCAAGTTAAGTGTACTCGTAATTCCCTTTGTCTATTTCACAACTCCTACCTCCCATCTTCTGGTATTCACCAGTTCTCTGTTTAAGAGTCCGTTTCTTGGTCTGTGTCTTTTTTTCTTCATTCTTTTTTTGTTTGTTAAATTCCGCGTGAGTGAAATCATATGGTATTTGTCTTTCTCTGACTCACTTATTTCACTTAGCATTATACTCTCTGGCTCTTTTCCATGTTGTTGCAAATGG